TCAGCCTTTTCGCGGACGCAACGGCGCCAAAATGGGCCGCTACAAGTTTGCTTGTTGTTTTGCCTTCCAAGAGGGCAACTTCTCTCGCTCGGCTGCTTCCTGCCACTATTCGCACGTATGTGGCGAATGCGGGAAACGCGGACATGGCTACCATGACCACCGAGACACCGGAGACGCAAGCCCTACTGACATGAATAATTAATTAAACTGATATTAAGCTTAATGACTTTGGCAGCGCAGATGCAACGGGTCTGTGTCGCCCCTTTACTTTGCTTCGGTTTTGTGGTTTGACCAGAAATTTTCATTACTGGTCGTTTCATTGTTGAGCGCTAAAAGCTCATATTGTATTTTGCAGTGTGTCTGCATCAGATTGTCTCGGATTCGAGAAAGTGTAATTATCATTGCAATTGCATTTTGCTAGACTGTGTGATTAAAATGTTTTTGTACTATTGAGTGAAATATAATCGTTATTTTTCAAGCCAGCTAAATATCAAAGCATTTTGGCATTATACCACCGGCTTCGCAGTTATAAAGAAACAGCTGTTAATTTGTATCGGACTTGCTCGTGCATGTCGTTCGCTAATCACTATAATTTTGCTGCAATGCAGTTGCTGCTGGTGAAAGCTGTTTTTACAGCGTTCAGCTTGCTCTTTATTCTACATTCTATTGAATATAAGTCCCTGCGCATAATGAAATTAAATATTTAGTTGTGACCTTTCACTTGGCGGCTGTATGTAATTTGTCTTGACACAGTTTTGACTGTGTGGCGGTACATTATTATCCTTTGGATTTCCTGCCCGTTATCCCGCGCGAAGTATCCACATTACGGTTGTTCAATCGGGCCATACGCAATCGGAACATGCGCTTCATCTCGGAATTTTCATCACCCGTTCATCCACCTGTTGTGCCGTTTTTTGTTTTGTTCTGCTCTTGGGGGTTTGGAGGTTGGTGCCGCTTGTACGCGGGCGTGTTTGTCAGTAAACAATAAATTACCCCCCATTTCTATATTGCATTGTTGTGTGTACACTGTACAGTAACAGAACCAGGGAACAATAATTGCGCATCCTGCCGGTGTACGACCGTTGGAAGCAGTCTGAAGCGGTATGGCTGTATAAGATCTACAACCACGAAGCATACCGCGGTATATGGTTGAAATGATCGATTTCACGGAGTTCGGAGCGCGGTACAACCTGCGGAACCCGACGAGAATTGCTGCCAGTGCAAAGAAGAAGATCGGAGAAGGGACGCTGGCCATGCGACTTAAGAATATCTTTGAACGCATACAAAAAGTTAACCTGCAGATACTCAGTGTTGATGGTGTGGGATTTTTCAAATTTGCTCTCCGAACTGTTGATCTGTCTTAGCAATTCTCGTTTGTTTAGCTTTTTGCCGACCAGACGTTGAGGTCCCGTTTAGCGGGTTGTCTGCTCCTGATGTAATAATAATAATAATAATAATAGTTGAACTACTTGTACGTATGAGTACTTCGTTTACGCATAGCCGGCAGCGTTTTTCTCTGAACATGGCTAGTTTCTTTCTTCATTCTGACCACTGTCATATAATAATTAAGCTTGACCTTTAAAAATTCAAGGTTCGTTTAACTGAGGTCCGTTAACAGCGAGTAAAGTAACCACGGAAGCAAGCTTTTGAGCCGACGATATTCTATTCGTATGCTACGCAACACTGTTATCTGTTGCAAGTGTTGTTATTATTATTGTACACGAACAGACCACAGTCTGGTAGAAAAAATACCAAAAAAAAGCAAAGACCCAAGAGTTTGAATAAGAAATGTTAAAAGTTTACCAGTCTACCTCCAGGCCAACCATTTTCAAAGCAAATTTTAAAAAAGCCAACAGTTTATCAAAATTCCTCGTACAGATACCACCCGAATCCGAAGAGTTCGCCAAAATCAATAGGCGACCGACTTCTTTTGTTTGAAAAAGCGGAAGCCTCACTATATCCGTCTGAATCAGCCCCAGAATCGATGTCTTGGTTCATACCAACAGAAGCCTCACTATCTTCGTCTGAATCTGAATCAGCAGCAGGGTCAATGCCCTCGCTCAAGGCCGCTGCGGTCATTGCGGTCAGCTCATCGGCGTCCAGATCGCCTAACGTAGCCGGGGTCCATTTGCGATCGCGGTAACGAGTGGAGATGCGCGGATCCGAACTCTGGTAATACTTCAGCGCCTAGAAATACCGATTAGTTCAGCTATTCAAGAGTACACAAACCCTGTTCACTCGAAGTCTGGTCATCAGCACCTAATGCGCAGAAGTACGGCAAACGTTAAGCCGGCAATCTCATTTCCACAAAGTTTTTATGATTGCAGAAATTTTAGATTGTACAGCTTAGGACAAAATGGTCGCATACCCAACATCTCCACATTCAGTACGAATGCAGCGCAGTGCACTGTACGACTGAGTTCAAAATATCCGTTTCGTACAAGTGCACTGCACCGCTTGCGTACAGAATGCTGGGTATGGGCCTATGGGGCTATGCGACCATTTAGTCCTACATTGTAGATCGTACATCTGTAGCTAAACTCTGTATCTTTAGTACATAAAATCGGTTTGTTTAAATTGTTATAGAAAAACGGTAACACTTTATTAAAGTATTGACGTCTGTCCGTTTCGTGATTAATTCTACCGATTTCGCGTAGCTCTGTATGATTTTCTAACGTTTGTCTTTCCGTCTGGGACTTTTCTGCCTAAGATAACCTGAATGTATCCCAGCCAATAGCATGCCTACCAGTTCTCAAAAGTGTGCAATTACGCGGTGACTGATTCTGTGACTAACAACTAACTTGCCTTGACAATCTGTCCTTGCGTCAGCTCACTCGGTTGGCCAGCAATGCAGTTGACAACGGCTACCGATATTTCCGTCCGATTTAGTGGCTTTTTGAGAACGAGGTTCTTCTCAAAGAGCCCCCACACCTCTTTCTCCAACTCGTGGCCCGAACGGGCGCCAAATGTATACTGCGCTATATGCGCCGTTAGAAGGCGATCAGCCATGTCGCATTCCTTCCACACCACTCTGTCGCACGCCGGACACTCCCCAAACGTCTCCACCACGTTATCCACGATACTCCCCACATATATATCGTCCTGACTAAAATCGCAGTCGTAGAACACGAGTGTCGCCATCTTTTCCGTTGTGAGGATGCTTTTGATCACAGCGGCCAAAAGGTCGCACTGGGCTCCTTCGGCAGACGCGACGATGACCATCTTGGTGCGGCTGCTGAGACACTTGAGCAAGCAGTTCGCCGCCCAGTACATACCGTGATAAGCGAAGGTTGAGACACCGAAATCCGGATGGGCCATGGACACGCGCACATCGGGAAAGTAGGCTTCCGTGGTGAGAATACAGTCCCATAGTGAGCAGACACGCCGACAACGAATGCGCGCGATGGAGTCCAGCGAGCGGAAGACCTCCTCTAACAGCTCAGGGAGCGCCGGCACAATTCTCCTTTCGTCGCCGCGCGAAATCGCCGGTGCTTTCCGCTGACGAAGGAGCAACTGCATGTCGCGAGATGCACCGCTCCTCACCTCGTTCCTGGCGTTGGCATACACGCCTTGCTACAGGAGGCAAAATATTATTTTTACTAACAAGTTGTGGCTCAGTTAACTAAGCTAATAATATTTTTTCTACGCACTGTCATTACCATTTGGTCAGCGCATAACGGAGCGGCAGTCTGTCGTTGCAGATAAAGCATGGCCTGGTTCAACAGAAGATGGTCTGGTTGACACCTTACTCCGTATTTTTGGTTTAACCGCTTTTTGAAGACCTGGCGGCACAACGGCGAACCGTCGGACCAGTAGGCGGCGGGCAACGGACAAGAACGGACCACGAAGTCGCCCTTCTTCACGCGGCGCTCCAGGTCGGCCTCGTTGGGCGGTGCGCGTATTTGACCGACGGGGACCAACTGTGTCACAGTGGCGTCGGGCAGTAGCACTTCCATCAACTCGGCGCCCCCGCCGTAGACGCAGAGTGCGCGCTGCAAGGCCGCTCGCTGGTAGGCCGTCCGCCCAGGGTACCACATCCAGGCCCCGTCTGGGTAGCGGCGCAACAATACCTGCACCTGCTCATCTCGGAATTTCCGTTTCCTGAAGGGACAATGCAAAATACGAGCAAATTGGACGAACTGCGAGCGTTGTGCGGCACAGTGAAAGTCAATGATTAGGCCGCCCTCCGCGACGTTGATCACGTCGCCGTGCTGCAGTAGTCCGTCGCTAACGAGAACGTCCACGGCGTTCCAGCGCGTGACATCACCTTCCTCGTCACCGTAAAATGACATCGCGCAAATCAAGCTGCCGGCTGAAAAACTCAAGGACCAAAGTACCTGGTAAAAATTCTGAAGAACTTACAGTACTCTTACTTCGTGCTACATTCCGCCTTCTAACAATCTAACGTACCGACCGCACCCTGCAGGAGGCTGCCATTTTCTCAGTTAATGGTATTTTTTTAGAAGACTGCCACACGCCGTCGGTTGCCCAAAATACAACAACAATTATTAGACTTTCGTGTACTATTTTCAGTAGATCGGAAGTAAATAATTTTGTATAAAGCCTGCAGTGATCAAAATTCGGTGTTATACCGCGGTGTAATGGACATGATTTCTGTCCGCGTTGTCTGGTCGTCGGCAGCAAAAATCCAGCAATGAACATTGGTATCTCTGTGAGCGGCGTAATTTTTCGGAATATTTTATACAATAAACATAAAAGTATGCAAATAACTCACATCAACAGCGTAACAATGGATCTGACCACACATGTGATTAATGTGAATCCGTTGCTAAATCATTCATTATGCTTACATAATATAAATCACGAAATCTCAAGAGGGAAACATAAACATGGCGGCGTAAAAAAACTCGGCTACAGTCACACAGTATGGAAATGCAAGAAAAATGACTGGGCCGCGCTGCAAAGAGTCCTACATAATCATAATTAAGAAAATAAATGAAAAGTTAATATCAAGAAAACAAATTTTCTTATCAATGTCGTCAATCATCACCAACGTCTTCAGACTCTCCGCTATCGTCATCGTCCGTGCTCATATCGTCATCCGTACTGCTACTCGTATCGTCTGCATCAGAATCGCCTTTGCCTTCGCTGTCATTCCAAATTTTTCCGTCATCCTGCATCGCTTCTGACAGATGATGCAGTGCCCAAAAGGTCATGCCGTGTACAGTTGCTAGGTTAGCGCGCAGATTCGCCGCCACATCCGTCCATTCCATATTTGGTCCGAAATGATTGTCGTTCTCCTGCCACCTTTTCAAGATCTGCAAAAGAAAAACCTGAAGGTTGCATGTCATGAAAAAGCACAATGCCGGTTGCTTCCACTGTCACTTACGGTTACGATCTCTCGTTTCTCAACCATGTTCGCTTTGCTAATCCATTTCGATAACTCTTGCAAGATTCCACGATTTCGCGGAACATTAAAGTCTGGAAGAGGCGGTGCGGCTCGTTTAAACACGTCCATCCAGTCGATCCCGGTATGCACGTTCACGGCAACATGGTCGAGCATTAGGTCGTACTGGGAACGATGCGGGATCACCTCCTTGGTCCCGTCACCGTACAGCAGAGTTTTGGCACATGCCGGTATAAAGAAGTGCCATAACGCGGTTTTATAGATAATAAACCGGCTGGAAGCAGCATCCATGATTTGCGACAGGGAAGTGCGCACTTTCTCCAGCTCCGTCACAAACCCGTCAAAACGGTCATTATTGCTTAATAGCGCGGCGTCGGAAAACACGAATACATCTGGCAGTTCCTTGAAGGTGCGCAGATCGGACAGGAGTGGCGGCACTGCTCGCATATCCACACCGACGAAGAGACCATATTTAGTGGCGCTAGTGATGCAGTTGCATAACCACAAGATGCAGGTGTACTCTCCGAATGCCGCATAAGGGTCAACATTGATTATTACGGTTTGGCTGCAATCAGCTGACTGCACAACCGAATTCCAGCCAGCACAAACGGAACGCGCAAGGGCTTTATGTCGCCCATCCAGAACCGAGAAGATCTCCGAAAGGACGTCGAGTGGAAGGTCGTTAAGGGAAGCGCATCCGTCATCAAGAGCAGAGCAGCCGGCTCCTTCGGCATCGGACAGTGAGGGAGTGTTCTGGAAGTCGGACTGAAAGCGCTTCTTTTTGTATCGGTGACTCGGGGATTTTGCTGTCTTCCTTTCTGACGGACTGCGCTTTTGAGTTTTTGTTGTGGCTCGTTGCAGTACTGCCGCCTGTAGCAGAGGAACACTTGTAAGTTGCAGAGGTACAAATAAAAAAATTTAGTCGCCTCCAGCGCTCGAGCGAGCACGAAGCAGGAGGCACAAAAATATTTTTATGTGTTTCCCAAGAATCGAACTGTGTAATAAAAAAATAATAATTTGAACGGAGTAATAATGCAATTCTGGAAGTCTGGGAACTACCGACTGGTAATATGGCTTTCTAATGGTCCCTTTCTAACTTCACAAACATTTTGCCGAAAGCAGTTATCGCTCCAGGAAACCACATTTCTCTGCAGGAATGTTTGAACGTGCAAGCGTGTGGGAGATGCAAATTAATTAATTCCAATAGTCCCTTCGTAAATATCGCAATAGTAACACGTAAAACTAAAAAATTTTACAGGCCATTATAACTTTTCCGAAAGTTCAGCTTTCTTGCCGGCGCTGTCCAGCAGGGCCTTACATACCACTTCATTCTCTCCAGGAAATTTGCCATTGCCCCGCCAAAGAAAGGTGACACAATTATCCACAATTGCAACTGGATGAGTGCCAGGGAATTTCGACTTCCACAACTCCACAATTGTTGGAGTCAGGGCAGGGATGTTTTTGGGCGCTGGAATTGTCGCTTTCAGAATACCCATCTCTTCCATCACATTTCGCGCCCGTGGCTCCCGGCGGACTCGTTCCTCTTTTACAACGGCCACAATGCGCTCGTCCTCATGCCACACTTCTACCAGTGCGTAGTATGGGTACTGGTGGGATGAGCGGGGTGAGAGCTTGCAGCTGTACCACGTCCATGGCTGGCTGGAGGACAGCTTCAACAGGACATATGGCGAGTAAGACAGAGTTCCCTGGGAGCTCGCTAAAGCATCTTCAGGAGCCCATTGGGTGTTGGCTTTGTCGTTCAGATATATATGACTGCCGTAAGGAATAGTCTGGAGGCTATTATCAGCCAGATCAAAATCAACGACCCACCCTTCTTCCAGTTTATCCACAATAAGGCCTCGAGGAAGGAGTCCGTCTTGCTCGACGTCCACAGCGTTCCACTGATAAACTTTCCTCGAAAACATTTCGCGCTTGGAAATGGGAATTTCAGATGATTCTTAGTTGAATTATACTTGAATAACACCGATCAGCGTGAGAATAGCTCTACTGGTGTCAGTTATAGATCGACCAACAAATAACGGAACTGATTCGAATAGTAAGTAGAAAGAATTTTTGAGTGAAAGGGTGCTGTCTTCAAGGGTTATAATCAGAATCAGGGCCGTCGTTAGACCCCTATCCAGTTTTCAAAACACTACTCCTACAGTTTCCATCCGATAATTTTTCTGAATACACCATTGAACTCAGCGTAAAATTCTAAACAAGATATTGAGGCCGATTTTTGAAATTCGAATTTCCCCTGGATCGACTATCACGGGCGGTTGCCCTGTGCGACAGACATGTTTTTGGGGCTTTCCCCCCTGTTTCCTCTAAACATATTTTGACATTAAAAAACACGTTTTTGGCTTGTTTTTACTCGTGTTTTATCAAATTTAAATGGTTTTGAGCAATTTTTTTTGCTGTGCCAAACAGGACCAACTTTCTAACCAATTTCACCAAGTATGCAATCGCTCCGGGCTGCCAAAACAAAGCTCTACTTGCTTTTCGTGCCGTCTTTTTTTTTGATCACCAGCTCGTGTAGCCGTTTCTCTTTGTAGAATAATATTTTACAAAGCGCCAATGTTAGGTAAAGAAATGAAGGTGTTGAAATATTTTTTTTCTAGCAAGCGTCAGCTTAGTATACGCACCTCGACATAAAAAACATGCAGACGTTACAGTTTTAAAAAGTTAAGAACGTCGACCGAAAACAAATCCTGTTTTACCGACTTTATTCGTGATGATCTTTCGCGGTCTTTTAACGACATGTCGATCTGCTCGGAAAAGGAAGGGGGTATTTTACCAAAAATAGATGTTTACGATCACATTAAAACGGACTGGAAATCGCACAGCATTACGGATTTGTTAAATCTTTTAACCCCTGATCATTGCCCTGTAAGTGATGCCATGGATCCTCCTAGCGACATGCCGCTTATGCGCAAGCAAATGTGGGAAAATTTAAAAGACTTTCCCCTTTCTAATTTATTCCGTGAAAGGTGATGGCTTGTTCTGTAAATATTGCGCACTTGGATTTGCAGTCGACCACCCACAACGGCCACTGCGGCGCAACTGGTGAAATCATGAAAAAATTTAAATCACTCAATATTAGTTAAAGTTCATGAAAAACGAGTAAAAACAAGCCAAAAACGTGTTTTTTAGTGTCAAAATATGTTTAGGGGGGCCAGGGGGAAAGCCCCAAAAACATGTCTGTCGCACAGGGCAACCGCCCGTGGTAGTCGATCCAGGGGAAATTCGAACTTCAAAAATCGGCCTCAATCATCTTGTTCAGAATTTTACGCTGAGTTCAATGGTGTATTCAGCAAAATTATCGGATGGAAACTGTAGGAGGAGTAGTGTTTTGAAAATTGGATAGGGGTCTAACGACGGCCCTGATCAGAATCAGAACATACGTAGACCACGTGCAGACGTAGTGGCATATTTATCAGGCGAAGTGGTGGACGACATATGAAACGAGTGCAACATACTTACGTAAGTATGTTGCACTCATGAAACTGCCATCCTGCTGTCTCGAGCAGGCCTTTCAAATTTGACTTTATTTTAAGACATTTATCCGGGTCATCATCCCTCAAGTAGCGATGGCAAAAACTTGGCGAAGTCGACTTTTCAAGTTAAAAACTTGAGGTCTCAAGTGCTTGTGAGGAGAGAAGCGGCTCATGTACAGCGACAAAGTCTTTCAAGGATTTTCAACGTATTGCGCCGTGGTGCAGTGGTACTGCCTACGCGGATCTAACGACGTAGCCGGGCTTCAATTCCCCCATCGGCGCCTTTTTCAGCCGTAACTTGGTTTCCAATGGATAGCGCCCTGGTAATAAATGTAACAACACATCCGGGGTTACACTTTCGCATTTAGGCCGTGTGCTTACACCGGGTTATGGCATTACTTGGTTCGGACGATCTGGAGTGGACCACGAAGACCGCGTGGCCGAGGCCCTGTATCGTTGGCTGGACTTGAGCGTTGTGGAACGAATGCCCGCCGCATTGGAGATGCTGTGCTTGGTACGCGTTGCGCACCTTTCCGCCGCCTTCCTCAAGTTTATGCAGGAAAGTCCCATGGCACGGCCACTCTTCCTGGCCATGCGCTGTTTGACACCCGAACAGCGTCGTCGCCAGCCGCGGTCATCCTACCGTACGTCGCTCTTATTCTTTCACAACAAACTTTCGCCGAACTCATATGTAAAAGTTCACAGTAGTTCGTAATATATACTGAAAGATTTGTCTATCCCTTTGGATGCAGAGATGACCTTAAAACTAAAATGCAAAATTTTGACATAAGAAAACAGCGAAGAAGGTTAAAGCAAATGTGACCGCTTGACAGAGGCAAAAGCGTATCGTCGGTCAGACTTTGCTGCTTACCAGCCAGAAGCGAGTATGCTTGAAGTTTAAACTGCTTTTGCAGAATCGGTTGTGGTTTACACTACCGCTCCTAATCCAGCGTACCCTACAAATTTCTACAAATTGTCCGTCGATTTTATTGAAGAGTTCTCGCTCGCAGATAATGTAATCGGGTATACTCGAGTAGCGCAGTACTTGAAAAAACCCGATAATATCCTGAACGTATCCCAGTCGAAGATCGACCACATTCTATGCAGACCAACCAGCTCGTATTTGCCGTGCTTAGCAGCAGACACTGATATCTCCGATCACCGCGTTTGTAAAACAGTTGCAGCTTATCCATGTAAGAAACCGCAGCATCGCACGGCGAGTTTTCGAGACTGGAAAGCGACGCATATCGATTTGTTTAAGAATAAAGTTTTTGAGTTTACCAAGAAATATGTTAATTACGTCGACTACAGCGACGTAGATGCTGAAGTAACGAATTTTGTTTGTGGTTTGTTTGAAATTGTTGATTCGTGTTTTCCGTTACGTACTAAACGCGTTTCCCAGAAAAGTGCTCCTTGGATAACTGGTGACATCAAAAGGCTTCTGAAAGAAAAGGATCTCGCGTACAAACGTAAAAAGTTGTCGCAAAATACTTCCGATTACGAAAGTAACAATCGACAGTTTAAACGTTTAAAGCGCGAAGTAATCCTTAAAATTAAAGAAGCCAAAAGACGTTACTTTGAGCAGAACGCCAAAAACGGTGCTGTAGTTTGGCGGGAATTAAACCGGATGTTGAATCGAAATAAACCGAACGTTGTTGTGGACTTTGAACCTAATGGACTGAACCAACACTTCGCCCAGATGGGAGAACACGGTAGCCCTCACCCGCCGGCGGCGGTGCCAGCCGCCAACGAATCTCCGTCGTTCGCGTTCGAACAGGTAACTGCTGCCACAGTTGCGGAAGCCTTCACTAACATCCTCAGCAGGAGAAAATGCGCCGGCCCTAACGGCATCCCGCATAAACTCTTGCAGGAGATTTACCCGTTACTGGTGGAGCCTATGACTCATCTGATTAATCAGTGCTTTATAAAAAGTATTTCGGACATTTTTAAAAAGCCGAAGTAATCGCCCTGCCGAAGTGCGGTCAGCCAAAATCGGTAGATCAAGTGCGGCCGATATCGTTGTTGTGCAACCTGTCGAAAGTGTTTGAAAAGCTGCGCAATCGCAGATTGTTAAATTTTTAAAAATCATGACATTCTTTCTCAATGCCAGTCTGGGTTTCGTAACGGTCATTCGTGTGAAACTTTGCTCCTTAAAGTGACCGAAGCATGGAAAAAGGCTGTTGACAACAAAAAGGCGGTGGCTTGTGTATTCCTTGATTTAAAAAGTGCTTTTCCTTCAGTGTGTCATAATTTATTGTTGATTAAACTTCGCAATCTTGGTTTCAACAATGATGCACTTGAATGGTTGCACTCGTATCTTACTGGCAGAATGCAACGGGTGCGAATCGGTGAACGGCTGTCTTTATGGGAACGTGTGTGCGCAGGTGTGCCGCAGGGTTCTATTCTCGGTCCCTTGCTGTTTATCATTTACCTAAACGAATTGTTGAAGATCGATTTTGGTTGTCCTGATGTGCAGTTAGAAAGTTTTGCTGATGACACAATCTGCTACGCAAAAGCGGACACGAAGTCAGAAGCAGCAAACAAAATAACTGCAGTACTTCCAGTAATTTGCGAGTGGCTTAATTTAAATCGTTTGGTTGTCAACGAAAAAAAGTCCAAGTTGCTTTTGATTTCCTCCGCGTACAGCCGAGATAAGAGTGTCGCATCGGTTGATTTGAACGGGCATAAGTTAGAACCGGAAGAATCAGTGAAATACCTGGGGGTGATAATTGACGAGCATTTGAAATGGACCGACCAAATTAAAAGGTCCAAAAAAGTGCTTATCATGGACTCGCCTTGATAAACAGTGTAAGGACGCCTGCCAGTAGCCCAACGCCTTGGACTTTACCACGCATTGGTCCAGACACATCTGGACCGTTGCTCCATTGTATGGAGCGGTGCGCCTGTGTCCACGCTGGAACCATTGGCAATCGTCCAAAGAAAAGCCGTTCGAGCTATCGCCAATTATGGGGGAACATCGGCCAATCAACTAATGGAACAGTATGGTATTACGCCATTGTTTAAACGATGGAAACACCAGGAAGCAACTTGGCTTTACAAAATTCTGCATCCCGAAAAGTTCCAGCTTCCCCGCTATCTCACCGAGATGATCGTAGTGAGGCAGTCGTCCAAACCGTATGGCCTTCGAAATGGAAACCGCACGTTCATCGAAGCGGAAGGATCTACACGAACCGGAAAATCTACGCTGGCTTGGAGGCTGAACAATGTTAGGAGCCAGCTAATTGAGGCCGGGAGTGACATTCTCACTAGCAGTTCTCTTGCTGTTTTTTCGTAATGCATTGAGGCTTGTTAGCATTGCTTAACTGATGACCTTTGTTCTATACATACTGTTTTCGAGTGGCTTTGCTGAAATTTCATGAACCTGATTTTATTACTGTTTTAGCCAGGTTTAGATTCCCACGCTAGAT